ATGCTCTCTGTCTCTCATTCTCTCTCTCTCAAATAAATAAATAAATAAATAAATCTTTAACAAAAAAAAAAGAAACAAAAACATATATTCTTTATAGTATATATATTCTTTATAGTACGTCATGCTGACTAGCTGGAGAGACTGGGGATAGAGACTTCCCCTTAACACCTGCCTTTGGAAATAAGGGCACTTTTTCTTGCTTTTTGATTGCTTGTTCAAAAGTTTGATGAAACTTCCCCAAGTACAGCCAAGGAGATGATTTATTTTATTTTATTTTAAAGATTTCATTTATTTATTTGACAGAGACACAGCGAGAGAGGGAACACAAGCAGGGGGAGTGGGAGAGGGAGAAGCAGGCTTCCCCGCGGAGCAGGGAGCCCAATGTGGGGCTCAGTCCCAGGACCCTGGGACCATGACCTGAGCTGAAGGCAGACGCTCAACGACTGAGCCACCGAGGCGCCGAGATGATTCATTTAACTGAACAACTGCCATCAAGGAAAACGTGGCAATGGTTGAACCCGTTGAATCTAGTACGTAGTAGACCTGCAGTGTTTACTGAGGCAGACAATCCACTCTGTTCTCTTTGTCACACAGGAGGAACCATCAGCTCTTTTATCACCTTTCCTACCCCTCAGTCCTCAGCGGACTTATTTTTCTTCCTCTCATTCATCTCTCTCTCCCCTAAGCTACCTGGCTTATCGAAACTTCATGATTGACACGTACCGGCTGAACCCCCAAGAGTATCTCACCTCCACCGCCTGCCGCAGGAACCTGGCCGGTGATGTCTGTGCCATCATGAGGTGGGTCTGCAGCTGAGGGGAGGGGGTCCGTAAGGATGTCTGCCCACAGAAGTCTCTTGGCAGAAGGAGAGCTGCCAGCAAAGAGCGTAGAGGAACACGCAGGGAAAAAAAACACGTGTAGAGAAAGGCACAGTTCACGTTCAGGGCATGTGTGTGACTTGAGGGAATGGCAGTGACGTTCTCTGGCGTGTGGAAGAAAGGAGGAGTGCGCGTGTAGTTGAAGGATCCTGGTTCAATTTTCCTGGCTCTCCTGGAAGAGATGATTACTAGGTGGGCGGATATGGAGAGAGGTCCCGACTGGAGACGGAGGCCTGGGTGTCACTGGCATTTAGGGATTTGCCAGCGAGTAGAATGGGCAGGGAAGAGGGCTGGGGAAAGGGAGATTTACACCCCCACCTCTGGCCCTTTTTGGCGGCCCCACGTGACCCTGTCTCCACCTCTCTCCTGCCAGGGTCCATGCCTTCCTAGAACAGTGGGGTCTTATTAACTACCAGGTGGATGCTGAGAGTCGACCAACCCCAATGGGGCCTCCGCCCACCTCTCACTTCCATGTCTTGGCAGACACACCATCAGGGCTGGTGCCTCTGCAGCCCAAGACCCCGCAGGTAGGGTGAGGGGCTGTGGGGGCGGGGGCGGGGCGGCGCTGGGAAAAACTGGGCTTCTTTGGACTTTTCTTTTCCTGGTTTTTTAGGGTAATGGTTCAGGAGTGTTTTGAGGCTTCTTCCTTTTCCGTGGGATGCAGAGGGCTACAGGAGGCAGCCCCGTGTGTTTAGCACCCTCTCTCAGCCTCCGCACCTAAGACTGTGAGGACTTGCTGAGGGAGAAGAGATGCTCCTTGTCCTCGAGGAGCAGACAGGCCAGTGTAGGGCATGGAGCAGATAGAGAAAAATGGCGGAAAATTAAGTTGCATGAAATTTTTGAACTTTGTTGTGTTTCCAACATTTTTTTCATTTTTGCCTCATAATTATTGTCACTTCCATTCCATACATTACTAAAATTAAGTGGAGACAGATTACGTGGCTTGCCCAGGGTCACAGAGTACCAAATCTAGGATTAGAACCCAATTGTCCAGCTCCTGAGGGAACCTATAAAGGTCGATGTGAATACAAATGGGGATCATGCCAACTACAGATCTAATTAATCATTAAGGGAACATGGAACAGTGGCATGAGTGCCCCCAGAGCTTGTGGGCCGCCCAGCATTTGGTCTTGAGGCCTCCAGGGCCTTGGCCTGGTCATTTTCCGCCCAGCCTCCATGACGCCAAGCTCTGTCCCCCAGGGCCGCCAGGTTGATGCTGATACCAAGGCTGGGCGAAAGGGCAAAGAGCTGGATGACCTGGTGCCAGAGACGGCTAAGGGCAAGCCAGAGCTGGTAGGTGGGGTGTAGACCCCGCTGGGCTTTTTATTTGCCCCTTTATTGGGGGGCCCCTGCGCGGGGAGAAGAGACGTGAGAGCGAGGAGCTACAGCAGTGAGGGAGGAAGTCCCCCCCCCCAGGGGTGTCCCTGGCTTTGGGAAGGAAGCTCCTTCTGTCTGTTTTCTCTCTTCTGTCCGCCCCTGGCTCCCGTGGTCACTCGTCCTCACCTCTTCCTTTCCCCTCCACAAATAGCAGACCTCTGCTTCCCAGCAAATGCTCACCTTCCCTGACAAAGGCAAAGAGAAGCCGACAGACATGCAGAACTTTGGGCTGCGCACAGACATGTACACAAAGAAGAACGTCCCCTCCAAGGTATGGAGGTGTGGGCTGACTCCAGGTGGGGAGCACCTTCAGCCTTCAGAAGTCACGGGCTCCTCTCTCTGACCCGCCTGTTTCTCCTGCAGAGTAAAGCTGCGGCCAGTGCCACTCGAGAGTGGACGGAACAGGAGACCCTGCTCCTCCTGGAGGTAATTGGGGCAAGGAAAAGGAGAGTTTTCTATGAAAACGGAAGTGGCCAGGCTGCCAGCCGCACTCGTGAGTGGGCAGAGCGTGACCTTGTCCCCAGTCTCTCTCTTCCCTGATGCCTGCCACACCTGCCCCAGGGAACAGCTCCAGGCCAGGCATTTGGGCCATTTCATTAACTCCGTATCCTCTCGTAGTGCTACTTGGAGATTCCCCTGGGACCCAGCAGAATCCACAAATACCACAACACAGAGAGCTTTGAAGCCCGCTGCCCTTAGTAGGATGGGGGGAGTTGACCTTCAAGGAAAGTGGCTAAGTAAGGAAGTTGTGTCTCCACCACTACCACCAGGCACTGGAAATGTACAAAGATGACTGGAACAAAGTGTCAGAGCACGTGGGAAGCCGCACGCAGGATGAGTGCATCTTGCATTTTCTTCGTCTTCCCATTGAAGACCCGTACCTGGAGGACTCAGAGGCCTCCCTGGGCCCCCTGGCCTACCAGCCTATCCCCTTCAGTCAGTCAGGCAACCCTGTTATGAGCACTGTTGCCTTCCTGGCCTCTGTCGTCGATCCTCGAGTCGCCTCTGCTGCTGCGAAGTCGGCCCTAGGTAATGTGGAGGGGTCCTGGCCTCTTTGGTTTGAAAGGCTGATTACTCAGACCTAGCAAGGCCCTCACGTTTGGCCGCCCTGCTGGCCCTGTCTGCCGCTGGCGCCGGCTCAGGCACCTGTCGAGCTCCACGCGGGTCTAGAGGAAGAGATGGGCTTCCGAGGCAGCTTTCGCAGGGACAGCCGCGACGGCCTGGCCGCCCGTGCCCCCAGCCTTGTCCTCTCTGGATCTTGCAGAGGAGTTCTCCAAGATGAAGGAGGAAGTGCCCACAGCCTTGGTGGAGGCCCACGTCCGGAAAGTGGAGGAGGCAGCCAAGGTGACGGGCAAGGCAGACCCGGCCTTCGGTCTGGAAAGCAGCGGTATCGCAGGAACCACCTCTGATGAGCCTGAGCGGATCGGTGAGGCTGCCGGCTGCCCCGAGGCCTCCCCTTTGGAGTCCCTGCCTCGCCTCATCCTCACAGCACGAGACCCACGGGGAGAACGGGTGGGGCTTTTATGGTCCCCAGGACTCCACCTTGGCGACTGCGGCCCCCTCCTGGCCCTCTCACTAGGATTTTGGCTAGGAGAGCGGGCTTTTGGAAAAGCCTTACGGAGACAGACTCTGTATCAGACATTTCCATTTTCTCTCCACCCCCCCCGCCAAACCCTCGGGCCCAGAGGAGAGCGGGACGGATGAGGCACGGGCAGAGGGGCAGGCCGCGGAGGAGAAGAAGGAGCCCAAGGTATAGCGGGACTGAGCTGGGCCGGGAGGGTGGAGGTGCCGGGCGCGGCAGCGTGGGGAGGGGAGCCAGAGAACCTCCGACGGAGGAGGTGGAGGTTCGCCTCCCAGCCTGGCCCTCTGTGTGAGGACCGGCTGCCCTGACGCTGTCCGCTTTTCTTTCACGGGCACCTCAGGAACCCCGAGAAGGAGTTGGGGCTGCCGAAGAAGAAACAAAGGAGAAGACCAGCGAGGTCCCCAAGAAGGACGAAGAGAGAGGGAAACAAGGTGACAGCGAGAAGGAGTCAGAGAAGAGCGACGGGGACCCCATAGGTGAGCCTCCCAGCGTGGTGGTTGGGTGTCTAGGGGAGAGAAGTGGGCGGCAGGCCTGATCCCACCTTCTTCCTGGCCCAGTTGACCCGGACAAGGAGAAGGAGCCAAAGGAAGGGCAGGAGGAAGTGCTGAAGGACGTGGTGGAGTCGGAGGGGGAGAGGAAGACGAAGGTGGAGCGGGACATTGGTGAGGGCAATCTGTCCACCGCCGCCGCCGCCGCCCTGGCCGCCGCCGCTGTGAAGGCCAAGGTGAGGGCCAAGGGCCCAGAAGACCCCCAGGGAAGGCGCTGCCCCCTGCTCTGATCTCACTTCCCACGCTCACTTCCATGGTGCTGGCCGGTTTCCTTCTCAGTTTGATCTGAGAGGGAGAGTTGGTCATCTCTTCTCTAAGCTCTTCAAAGCTTTTTACCATTAGGCCTGTTTTTATCCTCTAATTATTTGACCTTGTCTTATCTTTTGCCACTCTCTTTCTTTTCATGTTCTTTTAAGAATATGAAGCCTTTGCTACTCTGTGGGTTGTGACCACAGCAAATTCTTTCTTAAAATCCGCCGGCCTCCGCCCTAGCGCTCTGTCCCCGGCCCGCCTCCGGTGGGCCCTCCCGCTCATGTGCCGCCCTCCCCGCCCTTCCCGCCTTCCCTAGCACCTGGCCGCTGTGGAGGAGAGGAAGATCAAATCACTAGTGGCCCTGCTGGTGGAGACCCAGATGAAAAAGTTGGAGATCAAACTCCGGCACTTTGAAGAGTTGGAGACCATCATGGACCGGGAGCGAGAGGCAGTGAGTAGCACCCCGTGGGGGCCAGTGGAGCCAGGGGCCACACTTTGACACCGAGCCGGGCCTGGGTTTAGGATGGGGGTCAGCAGCAGTGGAGGAAGCCTGAGAGTGACCCGGCTTCAGCATAGAGGAGCAGGAGGAGCTTGCCCTGAGCGGTTGGGGACACAGTGGCCCACAGGCAAAGCCTGGAGCCCGAGGTCCCACAGAATGTTGGCATCCTGGGGCAGAGAGTCTAGTCGGTTTTTTCATTGCCTCACGTCCAGGTCCTTGAACAGTGTTTGACACATTGTAGACTCTCAGTAAATAAATATCTGTTGAGCCATCGAGTAGGTTTAAGGGATGAGAGGGAAGGGGCTCCAGACCCAGGAGGTGAACTTGGAAAGGGGATGGGATGGGCAAGGTATTGAACCATTTTGTTTTTGAGATGATATAAAAAGAAATATAAGACAGGGATCCTAACAGAACCTACGGTTTAATTGGAGACATCCAATATTCAGTACGGACGCATCAAAAACAGTGAATGTTTAAAGTATCTGACAAATTCAGATTGTAAGTCCTGAGAGATAACAAAATAAAGGCAAAGCTCAGAGGCTAAAGAGTTGATCTGGGATGGCTTCCTAAGAATGGTGAGTGTTTAGTCAATTTTGAGGGAAGAAAAGAACACGAGTTGACAAGAGGAACTGGAAGCATTTTCCAAATGAAAATAATGACAGAGGGGCACCTGGGTGGCTCAGCTGGTTAAGTGTCTGCCTTTGGCTCAGGTCATGGTCCCAGGGTCCTGAGATCGAGCCCCGCATCGTGCTCTCTGCTCGGTGGGGAGCCTGCTTCTCCCTCTCCCTCTGCCTGCTGCTCCCCCTGCTTGTTCTCTTTCTCTCTCTGACGAATAAATAAACTCTTTTTTTAAAAAGAGGAAAGAAAATAGTAACAGAGGGGCACCTGGGTGGCTCAGTGGGTTGAGCATCTACCTTCGGCTCAGGTCGTGGTCCCAGGGTCCTGGGATGGAGCCCCGCATCGGGTTCCCTGCTTCTCCCTCTGCCTGCTGCTCCCCCTGCTTGTGCTCTCTCTCTCTCTCTCTCTCTCTCAAATAAAATCTTGAAAGAAAGAAAAGAATGCCAGAGTCAGAGCTTTGGAGCTGAAAGGAATAAGGGCTCCCACTAGATGAACCCCATCGCAGTGAGAAGCCATGCGGGCTCCAGAAGACTCGGTGGTGGGAATAGTGGAGGGAGGACGGGGCAGGGCCCGGGACACCCAAGCCCAAGATTGGCATTTGGTGTGGGGAGCTGCCCCACGGAGAGGCGGGGTGTGTCGGCGGGCGGAGCAGGGCGCGGCCCGTGCACGCGGCTGACAGGCACCCGTGCTCACTTGGCTCCGGCAGCTGGAGTATCAGAGGCAGCAGCTCCTGGCCGACAGACAAGCCTTCCACATGGAGCAGCTGAAGTACGCGGAGATGAGGGCCCGGCAGCAGCACTTCCAGCAGATGCACCAGCAGCAGCAGCAGCCCCCGCCAGCCCTGCCGCCAGGCTCCCAGCCCGTCCCACCGGCGGGCACTGCCGGGCCGCCCGCGCTTCACAGCCTGGCTATGGCTCCGGCCTCCGTCGCCCCTGCCCCCGCTGGCGGCGGGGCTCCCCCCGGAAGCTTGGGCCCCTCTGAACAGATTGGGCAGGCAGGGTCAGCCGCGGGGCCGCAGCAGCAGCAACCAGCTGGAGCCCCCCAGCCTGGGGCAGTCCCACCAGGGGTACCCCCCCCTGGACCCCATGGTAAGTGATGGCTTCTGGAACGCTTGCTGGCCAGGGGGCTCCGGGTGAGCGTTCCGATTCGCCCTCGAAAGGGATGTAGGACAGGCCTGGAGATTTCTACAGATGGGTTCACCTCTGTGACATCCCTGAGCCAGCAGGGCTTCCTGCCCACATCCAGATCTTTGAGGTGTTGTTCCAAGGATGTACCACGTAGTCCCGGGTCGGGAGAAGCGGTGCTGAGGCGTGGCTACGTCATCCTTGCTATGCCAGGGAGACTTTCTGCCTCTAACCCCCTTGGTCTCTGCTCTTTGTTCCCAGGCCCCTCGCCGTTCCCCAACCAACCAACTCCTCCCGCAATGATGCCAGGGGCAGTGCCAGGCAGCGGGCACCCAGGCGTGGCGGGTAATGCTCCTTTGGGTTTGCCTTTTGGCATGCCGCCTCCTCCTCCTCCCGCTCCATCCATCATCCCATTTGGTAGTCTAGCCGACTCCATCAGTATTAACCTGCCCCCTCCTCCTAACCTGCATGGGCATCAGCACCATCTCCCGTTTGCCCCGGGCACTCTCCCCCCACCTAACCTGCCTGTGTCCATGGCGAACCCTCTACATCCTAACCTGCCGGCGACCACCACCATGCCATCTTCCTTGCCTCTTGGGCCGGGGCTCGGATCCGCCGCAGCCCAGAGCCCTGCCATTGTGGCAGCTGTTCAGGGCAACCTCCTGCCCAGTGCCAGCCCACTGCCAGGTGAGCAGCATCCTGGAGGGGAGGAGGGGGAGGGAGAGGGGTCCACACGGAGGGACGGGCGGGGGCGGGGGCAGGTAGGGGAAGGGCTTAGCTAATAGAACTTGCACAACCCTTTCTGAACGCTCTGGTAAATGAGAACACAGGGGGAAGGGCCTCTCTGGCTGTCCTCCACCATTCCCCACCCGGCAGCTGCCAGCTCTGGGATGACGTTGGGGCCTTTCACTGGTGGGTCACGGAGGAGTCCTAAGGCACAGCATCTCAGTTGTAAACTTGCAAAACAGCTACCCGTTTGCATGATGATCGGCACCCTCTTTGCTTGTTCCCATCACGTTCCAGTGCCCCGTTTAGAGAGTTTCCTGGGGCAGGAAGATTTGGGGTATTTCAGTTTTCCCAGTGTGAGGTGGGAGAGGGCGTTGGGGAAAGGCTACCTCGGTCACCTACCCACCCATTGCATGCCATGCCCAGTTCTGTTTGTCTGAGGTGGCCTGCGTCTGGATCCCTCTCCTGCTCACCCTGGCTGATTCCTCTTCCTTTTCTCCACAGACCCAGGTACCCCCCTGCCTCCAGACCCCACGGCCCCGAGCCCAGGCACAGTCACCCCTGTGCCACCTCCACAGTGAGGAGCCAGCCAGACATCTCTCTCCCTCACCCCCTATGGAGATCAAGGTTCCAGGAACAGCCCTCTCCCCACCACTGGGACCCTTCCCCAGCCTGGAGAGTTCATCACTACGTAAGGAAAGCTCCTCCTGCCCCTCCAAAGCCCCCACCATGCCTGTCAGAGGCATGCATTTTTATATCGGATTATTCAAGGACTTCTGTTTAAAAGATGTTTCTAATGTCTGGGAGAGAGGATAGGATGGGGATGCTGCCCTCAAAGAAAGGGCTGGGGAAAGGTGTTTATACAAGGTTCTAATTAACCACTTTTAAGGGTGCACCCCCTCAAAACTACTGCATTTTTTATGGATGGAAAAAAAAACAACAACGAAGCCCTTTAAAGGAAGTAGAGAGACATAAAAAGCCCACATTGGAGCTCCCTCCACCCACTAAAAAAAAAAAACAAAAACCCAACTTTTACATTTTTTGGAGGGAGGTGACAGGAAAGGGGAATTAAGGTTCTGGGAGAGCTCTGGGGATAGAATAGGGTGCAAAATCTGTCTCCTCCAGTCCCTCATTAGTGACCGAATCCACTCCTAAACCCCCTCAGCCACCCCAACCCCAGTTTATTCCTACTGATCTCTCCTGCTGCCTCCTCAGTGTTGCTGTTTTAGGCCACCCCAGCTCAGCCAATGACCCCTTTCCCCCTGAATGTCAGTTTTGTGTTTTTAAAAGTCACCTGCGTAGTTGATGTCAGCGTATGTGTATTTGGTGGGGAAATGTATTTTGGGGATTCCTGTGGTAGGTAATAGAGGAAAAAAGGGCCCTGTCCCTCCTCCCTGGGCCCTTTCCTTGGGCTCTTAGAAGACATGGAGAGGGGAGCTAGAGAGGAGGGGGAGTTGTAAAAACCTGAATTTTTCAAAAAGCACTTAAGCACCTCCTTCTTATGACTTGGTGGGTCACCCCTCTGACCTCTTCCACCAAGACCATCAGAACCTTGACTGGTAGCTAGGGGTTCCCTGGGATTTGGGGACAGTGGAGGAGGGGTGCCAGACCCAGGGTAGTGCCTACCCCCAGCTTGCAGCTCGGCTCTGCTCCTGGATTCCACTGCCTCCCCTACCACCTTTCCCTTCTTCATCCTTGACGTGAAGGCAGCCCGGACTCCAGGCTCTCCACCGGTTCTTCCTGGCCCCTCCCACCAGGCCTTTGTTCCTCACGTCCCCGTGTTTCTCTTCCTCCTCTGCGTCTTGGCACCTTTCTTCTGTTCAAAAGTTTTCTGTAAATTTTCTTTTTTCTTTTCTTTTCCTTTTTCTTTCTTTCTTTCTTTTTTTTTTTTTTTTTTTATAAATTAATTTGCTTTCAGTTCCATCTTGTGAATGCCTTCTGTGTTCTCTGACCCGTGGCTGTCAGGCAGGGGGATTCGGGCTGGGGGCAGCCTTCCCGGAGTCCTTCCCAGGGGCATTTGCTGCCACGGGCACGCAGACACTGGGCCTCTCTCCGCAAAGGGCTGCAGGCGGCACAGCTGTTGGGCTGTGTGTGGGTACGGGAGCCGGGTACCGGCCCTCACCTGCCCCAAAAATAGCTGTTTGAGACTTGGAAGGACATCCTCACAACCTGGAGATTTTGTATATTTATCCTTGCAGAAGTAAGGGCTTCATTCCTTCCCTTATTAGGTGGGAAGAAGGCAGGCATCTCACGTACTTGTGTTGTTACTGGCCCCTAGCCCTGCCGAAGTGACAGGCTCGGGCAGTGCTGACTGGGCCTGGCGTTCTCTCCATCAGACACTCCCTGGGCTTTCCCCACCAAAGGCCGTCAGTGCTTGGGAGGGTGAGGGCTGGGTTTAGCCAGTCGGAGGGCTAGGAGGACCTCCTGGGTAAGAGACAGAATGAGGACGGTCAGCCCTGGTCCTACAGGGATGTATGGCTTCCTTAATCCCCCAAGGGGTAGCCTTTGTAGTAGCATCAATGAATGGGGCCAGCATTTCTTAAATGACACAAAGATGGATCCTACCAGCCCTTCCCCCAGCTTTCCCAGCCCCTGGTCTATTGACCCTAGATGGTCTCTCCTCCCCTTCACCCTGCTCACAAAGGAAAGCAGAACCATGCTTAGGGCACAGAGCAAGTTTATTTGGTGAATGCTGACAGCAAATATCATCCAAGAGAGACGAGCTGGCGAAGGTGCTGTGACAAGAGGACCTAGGACGCCTTCAGGGCTACATGTAGTCTCACACAGGGGAAGACACAGGGCTCGAACGTCCTCAGCCATTCAGCACCATACGGACGAGCTCTGTGGATCAGAGAGACGGGTGAGCCAGGGAGTAGGGCTGCGGGGAGGGGTCCACCAGGGGCCAGGAGACCATAGGACCACAAGGGTAGCACAGGAGCGTGCCCGCAGAAACCAACCTTGGCTTTGCAGAGGAGCCACCTTGAGTCTGCCTAGTTCTCTCGGCCCCCAGCTCCCCTCCCACCCACTGTTAGCTCCTCCACCCCACCCTGAGCAGCAAGGACACAGCAGGAGGCAGAGAAGTTCTCAACTACACCTACAGCTACTGTCAGCCATTGGCAGGAGAAGACAGAGGTTTGGGTTAGGGTACCTCCAAGCTGCCCAGCAGAAGGAAGAAGAAAAGACTAATCAGCTATAGCAGCACGATGGGGCAGGCAACCAACCCCCCTATGCAACCACCTATCCCCAGGGCCAAAGGATCACCCTGAAGCAAGACGGGGACAGGCCGGTGCGAGTTCCCAGACACTAGCACCCCAGGCCCTATAAGCAAAACCTCAGAGCCCATTCTAGGAGAAAAGGAGGTACCACACCCCCAGGCTGTCTTCCTCTTTGAGGAACCCCTCCCCTCCCCTCCCCAGTCAGCTCCATGCAGAAACATGCTAGGAGGAAGTCAGATGGTAGTAGGGGTAGGGCAAGGGCTAGAGAGCAGAGCTTGGGCAGAAAAACACTGGGGAGGGGGCAACTAGAGAAGGGGAGGCTGGGAGGAGCCGTACCCGCCCCACTGGGCCCGTCACCCAGACAGGATATGCCTCACAAATGCTGCAGGAAGGAAGAGACATTCATGGTGAAGACCAGACACAGACATGGGGTGAAGGGGTCAGGCAGTAGGGGAACAGACATTCCCTTGATTTGACTCCCCATTCCTTCCCCCCCACACCCCCCCTTCACACATTATCCCTTCCTTTCCTGTCCTATTCCCATGGCCTCCCACTCCTGGGCCAGGCTGGGCCCTGCTCCTTGCCTCCTGGCTTTCTGGAGCCCAGGGAGCAGGGAGAGCCCCAAACGCCAGGCATGACCTGCCTGGACAACTTGCTTCACGAGAGCCCCAGTTCATCCCTCACCTTCATAGTTGATACAACCATTGCTGTCCTCATGTCCTGCCACCAGCATCTCTACTTCTTCCTCCGTCATCTTCTCACCTGCAGAGGGAAAGAGAAAAAGCATTTTGGGAACTGGGTGGCAGGTGTGTATCAGGTGGCACCTCCGCTCAAGGAGCAAGGGCAGAGCCTTACCCAGGGTGACAAGAACATGCCGGATTTCAGCACCCATGACCGTGCCATTCCCTTCCTTGTCAAACACCCGAAGGCCTTCGACATAGTCCTCATAGGTGCCCTGGTCCTTGTTCTTGGCCACAGTCTGCAGCATGGGCAGGAAGTGTTCAAAGTCCAGCACCTTCACATTCATCTCTGCCATAAAGGAGGTGGAAGGAAAGTCACACGGGTTCTCAGGACTGAGGAGATTACGGGGACCACAAGTGAGCAGGTGGCTCCCACTCAAAGCAGGAGAAATCTGTGGGATTTGCTAGTTGAGACAAACCTGCTTGAGTTCTGGGCCTATGAAGATAAAGGGAAGCTCTCAGCTGAAGAACTGTAGACCCATTACCACACTGAGAAATTGTTCGTGAGGACCCTCACCATCACTCTTGGGGTTCCCCAGGACCTTGAGCACCTCGGCGTTGGTGGGGTTCTGGCCCAGGGCCCTCATCACATCCCCACACTGGCTGTACAGGATCTTGCCGTCCCCTGTCCGGTCAAACAGCTGAAAGGCCTCCTTGAACTCTGAAGATTCAGATACACATCAGCACTGACCATATGGGGGTTAACCCATACTCTCTCTCACAACCCCTTCTGCCCATTCAACTTTGCTCATGCTGAGGAAACCAGGTATTTGTATCACTGTACACCCAAGTCCAGTAAGAGGGACCTAGTGTCCCTGCCTCCCAACACAGGTGTCCCACATAATGACACAGCCTTCCTCCCCCCTGGGCAGAACGGTAACATCCATTCACAGGCCCCTGTGCCTACAGCAAGCCTGCCCAGCCTCACTACTCTGCTCAGGGCAGGAATTTGCCACCGCCCTGTCTGGGTCCTGTCCTTATAAGGAAGTGGGAGCAGCAGCCTGGGACTGGGGTCATCCCAGCCTGCCACTTCCAACCCCTCCTGTACAGAAAGAGACCTTCAGAGGGTACAGCTGTGAAGTATCCTCAGCAAATCCCCCTGTCCCCATTTCCTCAAAATTCCAGGTCACTGCTTTTTACAATCTTAACAATTCCAAGCTGGGGCGGGGGTTATCACAGGAGGAGAAAAGAGGCAGAAGCTGATTAAAGGACAGGACCACAGGCAACTTAATACACCCTCCCCACACCACACACAGCAGGCATTAGGCGACCAAGTTGTTTCACATACCCACACCACCTAAAACTCACCCGGGGCTTGGGGCTCGGATCTAGAGTGGAAGGGGAGGGAGGAAGAAAGAGTGAGAAAAGAAAATGGAGGATCCAGAAAGAAGGAGAAGGGAATCCAGGAAGTACTTCCCTGGGGGTGCTGAAGAGATGACAGGTTGGGGTTAGGAGGTAGGTGCTAGAGGCGGGGGTCCCTCTCCCTAAACATGACCTCAGTAGGGGTCAGAGATTACTTACCTGCAGTCTGGTCCTCGGTGAAGTCACACTGCTCAGAGAAGAGGGGAGCAGTCAGCATCTGAACCCCAATCCCCCAAGCTTCCATCCCAGTCCCACAAACTCCTGTTCCGTGCTGGGGGACGGACCCCCAAACTTTCCAACCCCACCCCCGACCTTCCAGGCCCTCAGGTTCCCTTTGCAAACCCCTACCCCCGACTTCCCGCCTCTCGCCCCAAATCCCGCTCATCGTTCCAGGTCCCGGGCCCCACCATCTTGACGGCTCCGCTCCGCGGGACCTTTTCCTGCAGTAATGGCTCCGATTCCCGGCCCAACCCTAGTCTTAGTACGTCCCAGTGACGTCACCCTCAGCTGATCCAGCCAATAGGAGTCCCGGCCTGGCTTTATGCAGATAATATCGCTACATTAGTAATGAGGTGGGCGGGGCCCGCTGCTGCTTCCTCCCGCATAGCCCTACCTGGGGGGAGGAAACCGCCGAAGCGGGTCGAGCGGGGCGTGTGGAAGCTGCTCCTCCGTGCAGCGGGAAGATCAGAGGA